AGGTAATATGTACATGTGGGTAGAGTTAAAGTGACTATGCATAAATACTTAACAGAGTAGCAGCAGCGTAAAAAGGATGGGGTGGGGGGGCAGTGCAAATAGTCCGGGTAGCCATGATTAGCTGTTCAGGAGTCTTATGGCTTGGGGGTAGAAGCTGTTGAGAAGTCTTTTGGACCTAGACTTGGCACTCCGGTACCGCTTGCCGTGCGGTAGCAGAGAGAACAGTCTATGACTAGGGTGGCTGGAGTCTTTGACAATTTTGAGGGCCTTCCTCTGACACCGCCTGGTATAGAGGTCCTGGATGGCAGGAAGCTTTGCCCCAGTGATGTACTGGGCCGTACGCACTACCCTCTGTTGAAAAACAAATGATAGTCCCACTAAGCGCAAACCAGATGGGATGGCATATCACTGCAGAATGCTGTGGTAGCCATGCTGGGTAAGTGTGCCTTGAATTCTAAATAAATCACTGACAATGTCACCAGCAAAGCACCCCCACACCATCACACCTCCTCCTCCATGCTTCACGGTGGGAATCACACATACAGAGATCATCCGTTCACCTACTCTGCGTCTCACAAAGACATGGCTGTTGAATTAAAAAAGTATTGTGAGGAAAAAACTAAGACCTTGGTAAACTTGTTAAATACAGAGTTTGATTAAATGGTTATTAAGAGTAAAAAGTGAAAAAGTTTGGCAGGTGGGCTAGTAGCAAAAAACAGTACAGCAGTACGCCGACAATCCGGAAGTGCGTTGCGTCACTAGTCACGTGATCATCAGTGCAATGGAAATGATCAAAACCTGGTTAGTAGGGATCAGCTCCTGTATCGTTATTCACAGTGGAGAGGAGCCATGCAGATGCAGTAACAATCACCTGCTGGTGAGTCTGAACCCCAGTGTTAGAGTCGCCTTATCCCTAATGAGGCTGCATTGCGCAAATCTGACCATGACACATTCAGAGATGCTAGGAGAAAATGCAGTTGTCGCTTTTGGTCTTGAGATCTGAATCTGAATGGAGAAAAATGTGATATTGTACTTATTTTTTGGAGACTACAGTACAGATTAAGGAGAGAGTGTGAGGCAATATGTGACTGCAGTTCTCTAATGTTATTGCCATGCCTCGGAGGAGGAGCCGACGATAAAAAAGCAGAAGAGACTTAATAAGAGATAAAAGAGATAAAAGTATTCCGGTAGGTGACGGTCTCCACGGACGTTCGCTGAGTGTAGGAGGAAATACCAAAGCAAGTGGAACAAACACACACACAACAAACCAACAGACATTTTAACAGTCTTTGCAGTAGAAGAAGTTGCCATTCATGTAAGGATGTGCTAAGAATGGAGTTGTATGGTGTGAGTATTGACTGTGATACCTCAATGTTCGTTCCTTTGTTTATGTACACACTACACAAGATATTATGGACTAATCAGCTGTTTGGCATGCAACCGTCTTTCATTCAACACTCAGTGAAAACAAAGCCCATAATGTCCTGATAGTAATCATTACAAAGGAAGTGATCCCTCCCTACCAGATCCTTAGGGATGTACCCTAACAGTGGTTACCCAACCCTTTAGATTAGCTGACTCTGAATCTCACACACCTGGCCAGTTCGGACCCCTGCTGCTGCATGCCTTGCACATCACAAGCACACAGCTAACCATCTGGACTCTGGAGAACACTGATCATCACCACACCCTGTCCTGCCTCACTCCTCACCGCATCCCCCCTCCATCCGTCCATCCCTCCTTCCCTCGCTCCCTCCCATCACTCGCTCCCTCCCGTCACTCCCTCTGTCCTTCCGCCACTGGTGACCTTCCAAGTTCATCTGAAGAGATAGTCACAGTCGGGACCATCATCAGTCATCTGCTCTCACATGCATTAAATAACCCATGGTTTGTATGGCACACACAGGGCGGACGTTTACGCCACGGTGAGTTTATAGTGGCAATTCAAATGCAGTCAGACACGTGTTAGGCCTACGGTTTTGTCTTTACATCAGCTGAGGGCTTGGGGTGGCATGGTACTGTCCTCTTTACTGTCTAGCATGTGTTGAAAGACAACAGGTTATTCCATTAATATCAACCAACTGTGTTTGGTTCTGGGTTAATTTTGTTCTTCATTTGTATGTTTAAGTAGATAAACTACACATTGAACTGTATGCTATGTACCAGTTAAGATAACTCACTCTATGCTCTGTCTGTAAAAATCTCGGTTCGACAGATGCTGGGAGACGGGAAGCAAGTACAGGGTGATCATTTAATAAATAAAAGACATGGAACAAAACACGGACAGCGTCTGGACAGGGGAAACAAAACAACATCAATGCAGACATGGGGATCAAACTGAGGAACAGACAGATATAGGGGAGGTAACCAAGCAGTGATGAAGTTCAGGTGAGTCCAATGAAGCGCTGATGCGCTCGAGGGGGAGCGGTAGCAGGCGTGATAGTACACCCCCCCCTCTAGGGACGCCACCTGGCGTCCCACCTGGGCAAGTCTGACGGGTTGGCCGAGGCATGGGAGCTGGACGAGCCGGCCGAGGCGTAGGAGCCTGACGGGCTGGCCGAGGCGTGGGAGCTTGACGGGCCGGCAGAGCCGTGGAAACCTGATGAGCCGTCCGAGGCGTGGGAGCCTGATGAGATGGCTGAGGTGTGGGAGCCTGATGAGCCGGCTGAGGCATGGGAGCCTGACGAGCCGGCCGAGGCGTGGGAGCCTGACGAGACGGCTGAGGTGTGGGAGCCTGACGAGACGGCTGAGGTGTGGGAGCCTGAAGAGCTGGCTGAGGTGTGGGAGCCTGACGAAACGGCTGAGGTGTGGGAGCCTGAAGAGCCGGCTGAGGTGTGGGAGCCTGATGAGCCGGCTGAGGCGTGGGAGCCTGACGAGCCGGCTGAGGCGTGGGAGCCTGACGAGACGGCTGAGGTGTGGGAGTCTGATGAGCCGGCTGAGGCGTGGGAGCCTGCCGGCTGAGGCGTGGGAGCCTGACGAACCGGCTGAGGCGTCCTCGGTTGCTTCGGCAGCGGCACCCGGACCCGACGTCACCAACAGAAAAAAACTAAAGAAACTCCCTGATTCTTCCAATTGGGGTGTCTGCATTTGGTAACGACAGACACTGGGAGACAGGAAGCAAGTACAGGGTGAGGATTTATAATAAATACACATGAAACAAAGCAAGAACAGCGTCTGGACGAGAGAAACAAAACAACATCAATGCAGACACCAGGATCAAACTGAGGAACAGAAAGATATACACTACCATTCAAAAGTTTGGGGTCTCTTAGAAATGTCCTTGTTTTCGAAAGAAAAGCTAATTTTTGGTCCAATAAAATAACATCAAATTGATCAGAAATACAGTGTAGACATTGTTAATGTTGTAAATGGCTATTGTAGCTGGAAACGGCTGATTTTTTTATGGAATATCTACATAGGTGTACAGAGGCCCATTATCAGCAACCATCAGTCCTGTGTTCCAATGGCACGTTGTGTTTGCTAATCCAAGTTGATCATTTTAAAAGGCTAATTGATCATTAGAAAACCCTTTTGCAATTATGTTAGCACAGCTGAAAACTGTTGTGCTGATTAAAGAAGCAATAAAACTGGCCTTCTCGAGACTAGTTGAGTATCTGGAGCATCAGCAATTGTGGGTTCGTTTACAGGCTCAAAATGGCCAGAAACAAATAACTTTCTTCTGAAACTCGTCAGTCTATTCTTGTTCTGAGAAATGAAGGCTATTCCATGCGAGAAATTGCCAAGAAACTGAAGATCTCGTACAACGCTGTGTACTACTCCCTTCACAGAACAGCGCAAACTGGCTCTAACCAGAATAGAAAGAGGAGTGGGAGGCCCCAGTGCACAACTGAGCAAGAGGACAAATACATTAGAGTGTCTAGTTTGAGAAACAGACGCCTCACAGGTCCTCAACTGGCAGTTTCATTAAATAGTACCCGCAAAACACCAGTCTCAACGTCAACAGTGAAGAGGCAACTCCGGGATGCTGACTTTTTAGGCAGAGTTGCAAAGAAAAAGCCATATCTCAGACTGGCCAATAAAAATAAAAGATTAAGATGGGCAAAAGTACACAGACACTGGACAGAGGAAGATTGGAAAAAAAGTGTTATGGACAGACGAATCGAAGTTTGAGGTGTTTGGATCATAAAGAATAATATTTGTGAGACGCAGACCAAATGAAAAGATGCTGGAGGAGTGCTTGATGCCATCTGTCAAGCATGGTGGAGGCAATGTGATGGTCTGGGGGTGCTTTGGTGGTGGTAATGTGGGAGATTTGTACAGGGTAAAAGGGATCTTGAAGAAGGAAGGCTATCACTCCATTTTGCAACGCCATGCCATACCATGTGTATGGCGCTTGATTGGAGCCAATTTCCTCCTACAACAGGACAATGACCCAAAGCACAGCTCCAAACTATGCAAGAACTATTTAGGGAAGAAGCAGTCAGCTGGTATTCTGTCTATAATGTAAGGTGGCCAGCACAGTCACCGGATCTCAACCCTATTGAGCTGTTGTGGGAGCAGCTTGACCGTAAGAAGTACCCATCAAGCAAATCCAACTTGTGGGAGGTGCTTCAGGAAGCATGGGGTGAAATCTCTTCAGGCTACCTCAACAAATTGACAACTAGAATGCCAAAGGTCTGCAAGGCTGTAATTGCTGCAAATGGAGGATTCTTTGACGAAAGAAAAGTTTGAAGGACACAATTATTATTTCAATTAAAAATCATTATTTCTAACCGTGTCAATGACTACATTTCCTATTCAAACTAATTTAATGTATGTTTTCATGGAAAACAAGGACATTTCTATGTGACCCCAAACTTTTGAACGGTAATGTAGGTAACCAAGCAGTGATGAAGTTCAGGTGATTCCAATGAAGCACTGATGCGCGTAACGATGGTGACAGGTGTGCGTAATGGTGGGCAGCCTGGTGCCCTCGAGCGTCAGGGAGGGGGAGCGGAAGCAGGCATGACACTGTCTGTTTCTCTCTTTCTCTTTCCCAGCATGCCATAGACGCTGTTAGTGCAGGCGTCAGTCCGATCGGAGACACATCTTACAACTCCAGTCACTGGGACCTGGGAAGTGCCTTCTTCTTCGCTGGGACCGTGATCACAACAATAGGTAACCCCCACCACCAACCTATTAACTCATGACTCACTCCTCTGATTAACTGAGTAGAATAAAGCAATGTCACTGGTCTACTTTGACGTGTAGGCTATGAGGTAACCTACAGGTGCTGTGTCTCAACGTTACACAACTGTAATGTAATGTGTGCTATTTATCATAGCTAGCAGGGAAATCGATAAAAGAAAGACTGGAAAAATAAAGCATGATTCACAGGATGTACTTCATGCTAATGTGTGTGTGTGCGTGTTTACTGTTCAAGTCTCACAGCGTGGGGCTCCCGAGTGACGCAGCAGTCTAAGGCACTGTATCGCAATGCTAGAGGCGTTACTACAGACCCTGGTACGATCTGGGGCTGTATCACAACCGGCCGTGATCGGGAGTCCCATACGGCAGCGCACAATTGGCCCAGCATCATCCGGGTTAGGGGAGGGTTTGGCCAGGGAGGCTTTATTTGGCACATTGCGCTCTAGCGACTCCTTGTGGCGGGCCGGGCGTCTGCAGGCTGACCTCGGTCATCAGGTGAACAGTGTTTCCTCCGACACATTGGTGCGGCTGGCTTCCGGGTTAAGTGGGCGGGTGTTAAGAAGCGAGGTTTGGCGGGTCATGTTTTGAAGGACACATGACTAGATCTTCGCCTCCCCAGCCTGTTGGGGAGTTTCAGCGATGAGACGATCGAAATTGGGGAGAAAAATAAAATAAACAAATTATAATAATAAAGTCTCACAGCGTGTCTTCACAGTACATCATTTACTGATGATAATAGCTTTCTATTGGGAGGTGGGAAGGAACAGTGTCACTAGGGTGTGTTTTTAGCAGAACATATGAATACCATTTAATCTGTTTACACAATTACACTGCTTCTCTCACTGTGGATAGGGACACACATCCCACCGTGCTGGTTCAGATTAAGCTGTGCCCTAGTCATCCCCGCCCTGTTCAATCTCTCCATTCACTGCAAGTTGTAATTAATGTCATGTTTCTCTGAGTCCAACCTGATTATTTCCTCTCTTGCTGCTTATTTACCTCTAACCTCCAACTCCTGGAATATAACACATGCCTTACATAACAAAACACCACTGTGACAGGTTATGGGAACATAGCGCCCAGCACAGAGGGAGGGAAGATCTTCTGCATCCTGTACGCCTTATTTGGCATCCCGTTGTTTGGGTTCCTCCTGGCTGGCATCGGAGACCAACTGGGGACCATATTTGTCAAGAGCATCTTGAGGGTGGAGAAGATATACAAGGTAAGTTGGATTTCTTGAGAATTTGGGATTGTGTACATGGGATGTACTGGAACTGCATATGAGCACATGATGCTTTAAGAGGTGTTTCAAGTTAACTATAAGAAACTTTCGATCAGACTGTTATGAATTGATTTAGACACACCATGTTTGATGACTTATTTGGTGAAGAAAAGGGTATTTGAAAATGAGTATTTGGCGCCTGCTATGTAACTGAGCAGTAACTATAATAGCACCTATAATAACATAAAATGTTCCATTGACTCTAAAGAGGCAATATGCTTCCCACAGTGAAAACCAAGCATGTTACCTCCACCCCATAATGACCCTATTCACTGTAAACGGCACGATGCCTTTGATACAGTATCCCTGTAAAGGCTATAGGTCTGTTGTCCAGGTATTAGGCCAGGCTCAGTGAATGGATTTGAACTATTGTTCCCCCTCCAAGGAGTCAACACATGAGTCAGGCTAGCTGAGGCTGAGATTATGATGTGCTCTTTGTAGTGAGGGCAGAGGTGTTTGATGGAGTGTGGAGGCAGAGAAGGTAGAGGGCCAGGACCTGATTGAGATTCTGTGAGCAGGTTGTATGTATCAAGTGTCTCAGAGTAGGAGTACTGATCCCTGTCCATATAATCATATTTATTGTGATCTAAAAGCTCAAACTGATCCTAAATCAGCACTCCTACTCTGAGATGCTTGATACATACGGCCACTGGTCAGACAGGAGATAAGCACAGAGCTGAGCCCCTCTTCACTACTGAAAGCCCCAGGGGGGTTGAGTTTCTGTGACAAAGGGGGAACTTGGGAATTAGGCTTTTCCTACTGGATCAATGGAGGGTGGTTTTGGAAGCTTTTCCTTTTGGTCTCTGGAGTGGTTTAGCTAATGGGTATATTGATGCATAGGGCCATTGACTAAACTAATTATCTTCAAGCCTACTGTGTCTTTCAGCTAGAAATGTAGTGATTGTATTTAGTAAACAGTTTATCTTTTGAGTTCTTGTTGACTTACCGTTCACCTCTGACCAATGTCATTTTTGTCAAGCAAAAACAGAAACAGATAAGCCAGACCAAAATCAGAGTCACCTCCACCATACTCTTCATCCTGGCCGGGTGCATAGTCTTCGTCAGCATCCCGGCGGTCATTTTCAAACACATCGAGGGATGGACGACTCTGGATGCCATCTACTTTGTCGTCATCACGCTAACGACGATTGGCATTGGGGACTATGTGGCAGGTATGATAGTGTTGTAACAGGTTTATGTACTGTGTCTTTAGATAAACATTTGTTTAGTCTTCCGTTGCTACTCACCATTTTCAGCTCTCCTACTCACTTCTCTTCTCTTACATTTGCATTCAATCCACGTAAAGTGAAATTCGATTATCTCTATGAAATTAGCTAATGGAGTCTCCAACAACCCAAGGTGTAATGTACTTGTGTTTTGTTGTGTCTGCATTGCATTGATAATCCCTTGAATAATGATGCTATAATTGACTGCCGGTAATTATAATTGAGACAATTTTATCTAGAGGAATATTAGAGCAAGACTAATCCAAAATAATTCAGAACCCAATTACAAACTGTGTGTTTGTCAAACTGAACCTTTCTGCCTCCCTGGTCCTATTAATCTGGCTTTATTGTTGACAATAATTTGGCAGTAGCAGGCATCTATGTATATACGTAGATAATCCAGTATTTGGCATCCAATGTAACAACTCTTCCGCTGTTGTCCCAGGTGGGGATCGGAAGATCGAGTACATGAAGTGGTACAAGCCCCTGGTCTGGTTCTGGATCCTGGTGGGCCTGGCCTACTTCGCTGCGGTCCTGAGCATGATCGGAGACTGGCTCAGAGTGCTTTCCAAAAAGACCAAAGAGGAGGTGGGTACTGCTCATTCAATTACAGTGCCTGTCATTACATTATCTAAAGCAGTGGAAACTAAAAGGTCACTCTTTCCCTCCCCCGCCTTCCTTCCATGTCTGTTTTGTTATTATGCCTCGTTGATGCCCCTGAGACAGACAGACAGACAGACAGACAGACAGACAGACAGACAGACAGACAGACAGACAGACAGACAGACAGACAGACAGACAGACAGACAGACAGCTGTGTAAGAGAAGTGGTTAGAGATCCAGTCATTACCCACTGGGCACAGACGTCAGTTCAACGTCTAGTTTTGATTAACATTTGGTTGAGTTGTCAACTAACGTGAATTCAACCAAAAATTTCACCATGTCATTGGATTTAGGTTAAAAGTTGTGAAAAAAATATGAAATTCCCTTACGTTGATTTACTTTATTCAAATACAATCAGTTTTCCATGTTGATTCAACGTCACATACATTTTTTGTTGCTGAAGTGACGTGAAAACAACGTTGATTCAACCAGTTTTTGCCCGGTGGGCTGATGAGTGAATAGTGAGCTTACTGAGCTATTGATCTGTACATACAGTATGGATGGATACTGTGATTACTTTCTATGGAAGGAGCCTTGCTTTTGTCTGAGGGGGAATTTGTAGAAGATCCAACCAATTAGATTTCCAAAGCACCCCCTCCACCCTCCTGCGTCATGACTCTATCTCCATCTTTGTGTGATTGCAGGTGGGGGAGTTCAAGGTCCACGCCGCTGAGTGGAAGACCAACATGCGAGCCGAATTCCGGGAGACGCGTCGGCGGCTGAGTGTGGAGATCCACGACAAGTTGCAGCGGGCTGCCACCATCCACAGCATGGAGCGCAGGCAACTGGGCCTGGAGCAGAGGACCCACTCCCTGGACATGCTCTCCCCAGAGAAGAGGGCCGTGTTTGCCAGCCTGGACCAGGGCCGTTTCAAGACCTCCTCCCAGGAGAGCATCGACACCAAGCTGAGTAACTTGAGGTTGAGAGGGGCAGGGGAGCTTTGTTATGAGCAGCGGAGAGGCAGCGAGCAGACCCAGCAGGCCTCATCGGAGGACGATAACCTCTTCAACCTACGCTTCCGCTCCCTCACCAAGCTAACCAAGAGACACAAGAACCGTGACCTGAAGAGTAACATTCCCGACGATATGCGGAGGGCCTGCGAGGCGATGGAGAGGAGGGAGGAGAACGTGGAGGAGGTGAAGGAGGAGGAAGGGAGCGAGAGGAAAGAGGGCAACACCAGCTTGACAAATTTGGAATATGCAGACGAGCACATTAAACTAAATGGTTTTGTACTGGCTCTGGCCAAAGAGAGGGAGGACGATAGAATGTTGGAAGGAAGAGAGCTTCAGCCCCAGCTAGAATGTGCAGATACAGAGAGAGAGTGAGAGAGAAGGGGGCTTTTTTGATGTCTCAAAATGTGCCTTGCTGTTTTTTCTATGCTTATACTGTTCTGAGTAAATGGGACTGTTCTGTTCTAAGTCAACAGCCACTGTGCCCTAGCAATGTAAAGACTAATGTTGCCAAAAAGTGGAGAGAAAAGAGACAGAGGCTATGGTCTAATTTGGCGAAGACCTCTTATCTCTTGGATAGTACTGGACCTACCAGAATCTCCTTTCCTTTTTAAAGAACACCCACTTGCTACCCAATCCTACCCACAATATCCAACAAATAAAGCAGACGCAACATGGGATATATCTTGTCTTTGTTACCTGAGGCTTATGCAAGCAAGTAACCCAGTGAACTAGTGTTTCACCATCCCAGTGAAATCTGTACCAATGATATAGATCTTCACTTATTATTATTCATTTCACACCAGCTATTTTTAGCCCAGGCTGCTGAACGGACTGCAACAAATATGACTTGAGGGGGTGTTATGATGAGTTTCTCGGGTATCAAGTAATTCAGGATGCAAGAATATACTTAAACAATTATATGGAGAGTTCATACAAATATTTAATAGACACGGTACCGTGGTTCGTCTAACAAACGGCACATGCTTTGCCTCTTGTCATCCAAACTACTAGACAAAGAAAATATCTCTCTTCTTATAGTCCCGGTTACATATTGCTTCCACAACATCTGGTAACCATCAGTTGGCACTCCCTTCTTTGATGGTATTACGCTGTACCCAAGTCAGTATATTATATCTATCAATCATTCTAAGATAAACCAACAGTAAGCTCCCTTGACATACTGGAATCCTTGTTATTCAGACCCTGCAGCACCAAGAGTCACTTATCTAATAAATGTAACCTTGTTCCCACAACACCATGAAAAGACATCATAACAATCTTTCATTTTGTTCTCTTTGTGGTAAGTAACATTCCTCAGATATAACATTTACTTAACCCCAACAATTCACATAACTTCATATAAAATAAAATATTCTCCAATCAGTAATATAGATAGATGATTTAGAGACTAAACTATGCCAGATAACTGAGAATTCATTCCCCTCTACCTTCTATACCTTAATCCAACCAGATTCTCAATATATTTAATCAACAAAGGTATACATTCTCAGTCACCTGTCTCATGCACAATCAAACATCTCAAACCTGCTATGGACTCAGTCTGAGTAAAAGATAGATACACGATGAACTACTATATATTCATGCTAAAAATCTATGTAGTCAAAACCTTACTGATATATAAGGACAAAATCCCACATAGACCATCCCTATTTCTTAAATGACACCCTTGTATACATCATTTACAAATATACCCATCCTCTTAGACATGCTACCAAGAAAAACATACATATAAATACATTCTTAACATCATGACATCATCCACACAAATACAATGAAACATGACATTCTCTAAATTACATGGAGATTATAATATAGTCAGATGAATATATCTCAATAAAAATAACGTCAGTCTTCTTCTGTCACGATCGTCTGAAGGAGCGGACCAATGCGCAGCGTTGTGAGTGAACATGATGACTTTATTAATAAAAGCAACCACGAAAAAACAACAAATGACGATACGTGAAGTTCAAATACTGATACAGACTAACAGCAACACGGAAACAATAACCCACAAAACAAAGGAGAAAACACACAGAATATATATGGCTCCCAATCAGAGATAACGAGCCGACAGCTGACACTCGTTACCTCCGATTGGGAGTCATAGACCAATCACCACTAGACACAAACAACATGAAACTCACCCATCCCCAACACCACCAAATGACATACACCCAAACAAATGAAAATGAACAACCCTGGCTCAAATATCAAAGTCCATGGAGCCAGAGTGTCACAGTACCCCCCCCTAAAGGTGCGAACTCCGGGCGCACCAACATCAGGACTAGGGGAGGGTCTGGGTGGGCGTCTGTCCACGGTGGCGGCTCTGGCCCCGGTCGTGATCCCCACCCCACCACAGTCACAACCTGCTTCGGTAGCCTCCTCTCAATGACCACCCTCCAACTAACCCCACCTGGACTAAGGGGCAACACCGGACTAAGGGGCAGCATCGGCCTAAGGGGCAGCACCGGGATAAGGGGCAGCACCGGGATAAGGGGCAGCACCGGGACAAGGGGCAGCACCGGGCTAAGGGGCAGCACCGGACTAAGGGGCAGCACCGGACTACGGGGCAGTACCGGACTAAGGGGCAGTACCGGACTAAGGGGCAGTACCAGGCTAAGGGACAGCACCAGGATAAGGGACAGCAACAGGATAAGGAGCAACACCGAGCTAAGGGGCAGCACCTGACTAAATGGCGGATCCTGGCTGGCTGGCTCTGGCGGATCCTGGCTGGACGGCTCTGGCGGATCCTGGCTGGACGGCTCATGGCTGGCTGACGGATCTGGCTGCTCATGGCTGGCTGACGGATCTGGCTGCTCATGGCTGGCTGACGGATCTGGCTGCTCATGGCTGGCTGACGGATCTGGCTGCTCATGGCTGGCTGACGGATCTGGCTGCTCATGGCTGGCTGACGGATCTGGCTGCTCATGGCCGACTGACGGATCTGGCTGATCCTGTCTGGTGGAAGGCTCTGGCTGATCCTGTCTGGCAGAAGGCTCTGGCTGATCCTGTCTGGCAGAAGGCTCTGGCTGATCCTGTCTGGCAGAAGGCTCTGGCTGATCCTGTCTGGCGGAAGGCTCTGGCTGATCCTGTCTGGCGGAAGGCTCTAGCGGCTCCGGTCTGGCGGACGGCTCTGATGGCTCATGGCAGACGGGCGGCTTTGCAGGCTTTGGGCAGACGGGCAGTTCAGGCCCCGTTGGGCAGACGGCAGACTCTGGCCGTCTGAGGCGCATCGTAGGCCTGGTGCGTGGTGCCGGAACAGGAGGTACCGGGCTGAGGACACGCATCTCAGGGCTAGTGCGGGAAGCAGCAACAGGGCATGCTTGGCCCTGGGGACGCACCGTAGGCCTGATGCGTGGTGCCGGAACTGGAGGTACCGGGCTGAGGACACGCATCTCAGGGCTAGTGCGGGAAGCAGCAACAGGGCATGCTTGGCCCTGGGGACGCACCGTAGGCCTGATGCGTGGTGCCGGAACTGGAGGTACCGGGCTGAGGACACGCATCTCAGGGCTAGTGCGGGGAGTCGGAACAGGGCATGCTGGACCCTGGGGACTCCCATAACGCCTAGTGCGGGGAGCCGGAACAGGGCATGCTGGACCCTGGGGACTCACCTCACGCCTAGTGCGGAGAGCAGGAACAGGCCGGGCTGGGCTGGCGACGCGCACCGTATCCCTGGTGCGAGTGGCCGGAACAGGCCGGGCCGGGCTGGCGAAGCGCACCGTATCCCTGGTGCGTGGAGTAGGAACAGGCCGGGCTGGGCTGGCGACGCGCACCGTATCCCTGGTGCGAGTGGCCGGAACCGGCCGGGCCGGGCTGGCGAAGCGCACCGTATCCCTGGTGCGTGGAGTAGGAACAGGCCGGGCTGGGCTGGCGACGCGCACCGTTTCCCTGGTGCGAGTGGCCGGAACAGGCCGGGCCGGGCTGGCGAAGCGCACCATATCCTTGGTGCGAGGGGTCGGAACAGGCCGGACCGTACTGGAGGCACACACCACTGGCTCTACCCCGGGGACTGGAACGGGCCGGACCGGACTGGATACACACCTCAGTCTCTCACGCCGTGCCTCTACATCTCCTTTCCCTACTCTGGCCAGTGACCCCCTTAACCTGGTAGCCTCCTGAATCCTTCCCTTCTCTGCCTCCGTCAGCCCCCTTAACCTGGTAGCCTTCTGAATCTGCCTTGTGACAGCCTCCTGCTGCTCAGCTGCCCAAGCCATGTGCCCCCCCCAAAAAATTTCTTGGGGTTGCCTCTCGTCCTTCCGACGAAACACCTGCCGATGCCGTTGCTCCTCTCCTGCCAGGTTCTCCCCCTTCATCGCCCTCCGGTACCGGACGGCCTCCTCCTGGGTAATATGTCCCAGCCGAGGAGGACATCCACCAACGTTCTCTCCTGACCCGGCGCCTCCTCCCATGTCCAGACCCTTTGCTCCTGGACGCGCTGCTTGGTCCTTTTGTGGTGGGTTATTCTGTCACGATCGTCTGAAGGAGCGGACCAATGCGCAGCGTTGTGAGTGAACATGATGACTTTATTAATAAAAGCAACCACGAAAAAACAACAAATGACGATACGTGAAGTTCAAATACTGATACAGACTAACAGCAACACGGAAACAATAACCCACAAAACAAAGGAGAAAACACACAGAATATATATGGCTCCCAATCAGAGATAACGAGCCGACAGCTGACACTCGTTACCTCCGATTGGGAGTCATAGACCAATCACCACTAGACACAAACAACATGAAACTCACCCATCCCCAACACCACCAAATGACATACACCCAAACAAATGAAAATGAACAACCCTGGCTCAAATATCAAAGTCCATGGAGCCAGAGTGTCACATCTTCACCCATGTTCATTCAGAGGAACCCCAAGCTTTTCTCTGGTCACTTGGGGCGCGTTATACAGTTCCAACTTAACATTCCCCATTCCTCAATCAACATTATCAATGGACTCTACACTTGAATAAGATGATATAAATGAATAATTAGTACTTTCCCTCCTTACATTAATATTGACTGATACATCTATATTCTTAATACCTTCCTGTATGTCTCTAATATTTCCCATAGCTTTAGTTAAATTCCCAATACCTTCCTATTCTGATGGCAAGCATGTACAACATGCATCTCCCCCTGTAATCGCATACATTCCCCCTTTATCTACTGTAATAGCATCCAATGCTATGCGATTATCAATTGCATATTGTCTAATGAGTGCCATCTCAGAACCAATAGCTTGAAAACCCATGACTGTTAAAAGGTACCATCTTCAATTCTGTTCAACCCTGACTCTGTTCTGATAATATGCCTGAGGAGGGATACACAGGATAACACTCTGGTTTCAGT